TGTGTGTGTGTTTACGTATATACACATGTATGTACGTATAAAAACATGCAGACATGTATACACACAAATTTTACACGCGTATGTGGTGAACCTGAAGTTGCATTTATGTGCTGCACCTTCGCATATCATTTGGTGTACTTGCCACATTTCATTTGCGTGCTGTGGCTGTGGTGATAAAACTTATAAAATTCTGCAAGTCTACAAACCACAGCGGGAAAAAAATCTACAAAACCAAATTGCACAATCATACAGAGATAGACAGATAGATACATAGATATAAACATACATACATACAAACCTAAATATGTACATACATACATATGTACATACAAACCAAATATGTACTTACATACCTATGTATAAATAAACCTGGATATATACATACATACTTACATTCCCCCTCGTCGTTCCCGTCATACAGGAAGATGCTAGGCTGCGACACGCATCTTCGCATGTCCTGTGGGGCGTCCGCCACATTCATGTTGGAGTTGTCGCTGGGTGTGCCTTCAAACGTCGAGCGCATCGCCATACCTTGGAAAGGGGAGGAAGCGTATCCTTTCCGGTGGTTTGCTGGTATATGCAGGTGCATGTGAGTATACATGTGCTACAGTGAATATGCACGTAGAATACAATTACGCATGTTTGTGGTTTTGATTGACGTGTATGCTTGGTTGATTGTTATTGTCTGTGTATGTTTGATCATGTATAGAGTTGGTTATATTCTCGGAGAATAATCTATGAGAGGCGTGTGAGCTGTTGCAAGCAGAAACGGATGGAAACTATGAATATTTTTATCAGCTGGTTCGCATTTAAACTTGAAGTTATATCTCGTTGAAATTATACTCAACGGCAGCAGATGTTATATACATATTGTAGGTAATCGACCTGCTATATCTAGGACGCATTTAAAGACACAAATCTGAATGTTTCGAAATGATAACCTGGCGGTTGTGTTTGGCGACAGATTAAGTATTTCAGCGAAGATTCTGTTGTGTAAAATCCCTAGCGATGTACACAGTTCCGTAAAATCAAATATGCTCATGCAGGTTCTAAATAGGAGTGTACATAACAGGTATATGTCGATACTATCACTGAGTAGTTTGGAACACCGGAGACTAATGAAGTCTTTACCAGGCGCAGTAGTTCCAAGCAGAACATTCGCTTCTTCGAGCCAGCACACCTTGACTTTTTTTAGTACTACATTCACCTTTTCAAATCACACCTTCACCTCAATTGGTCAAATCTTGTAGCTTTTTGAGTGATACCTTTGTGTGACACGTTCACTTTGTCTAGACATACTTTCTCCAGTGACAGACGCAGAGGTCTGCATTCGGTGTCGCCCCTTGCGCTTCTTACTGTCGCCGGTATTTGGTTGGCCCATACCTATCTGTAGCATTTCGGGTTGCGTTTGTTGTACTTAGCTACATACATGGGTGTATCAATACTCCACACTATTCACGTTAATCTACCTGTGGCAAACGCTTTTGGTAGTTTCTGAACGAGTTGTATTGCTTTCGCACTAGCAATACCTCAACACGTGGTATCCGCAAGTTGCATAGGTAGCATTCTCTCTGACACGAATACGCCTGGGGCTGACGGACAGTAACATTTCTAAAAAAAAATTCTGCGGGTTTTCGGTTACTAGGGGAGCGATTGGTCTATTAGGCGATAAGACATGTACGCGTGGGGGACACTATTGTTCTGCCACTTACTGTGAATTCATTGGCGGCACAACCGCCAAAACGTTCTAAACACTGGTATCAAACTCTTTTGCCTCGCAAACTACAAGCGTCCGAAACGGTCCAGGACGTATTCTCCTATATACGAAAGTGCCTCCATACATTACCATATGTAAGGTTTTCTGAGTCAAGTATGCTGATAAAATTACCATACAATACCAAATCGCCGACGAATCATGCTACGTTTTCCGTCGGCACGCATCCGGTACGCCAAGCCTGCTACACAACCATCACGTCGATTATGATAAAACGTAAATACTTTTATCCTGACATACCTCGGGTACATCGTAGCCAGAGCGTTTAAATTTTCGTCCCAATCCCTTGAGAAATCCGGTTTCGACTTGACCCCCGCTGGGTCTTTTCTTCGACTTACTACTAGTACTACTTTTATCCTCAGATGGCTCGCCTTCCTCCAATATGTCGAGCAAGATATCTTTTCCGTCAATTGTTTCGTGCGAAAAGTCTAATTCGAAGTACTCATCTAAGTCATCCTGGATATTATATGTGCACATGAACAAATAGTTTGTACACAAGTTGAGTGTGTGTATATCAGTGTATTGTACGGATTTCATAAGTTATACGAGTAACATGCGCATATTTATATATCTTAGCATCGGTCTAAGAATAGACTTGTATA